ATGCTGTACTCTAATCAAACCTACATTTCGCTTTCGGTCAGTGACCAGAGACATCTCTAACAAGTTTGGGGTCCCTGGGCCTGAAATGATTATGGGGGGGGGCTTCTCCCACAGTACTAACTACTACACATAGCATAAAGTATTATTATTGTGTCACTGCAATGAAAAACACTAATTAGGAAATTGAAATTGTACAACCTTGATTTAGAGGAAACCATAGATCCATTTTTTCAAGCTGGCCTTATCAGTGATACCATTGCAATGATAAAAGTGTAAGTTTGAAATTTAAATTTCACCTTATCTCAGTTGAGACATCTTTGTCAATCCAGCATTACTTCATCTTCTAGCAGCATGGTCTTGCCATCATGTTCCATCCATAATGTACCTTAGATCAACCAGGAGCCTTCTCTTTAAGAGAAAATAAATGTTGAGCATTGTGTTCATTTTTCCTTGGCTACTGTTGACCAAAATATGCACAAGGACAATATTACATGAATTTATCTAAATGATGACATTACTGTCTCATATAACAGACAAGTGCTGTTTCTTGTGAAAAATAATGCTTACTTTCTTTACTTACTAGGAAGGTTATTTCTTTAATAGCAAGATCTAGTCTAGTAGTTATGGTTTGTAACTGTGGTAGGCAACTAGTAGAGAAACTGGCTAGAACAGTTGTTGGTAGAGCATATGAAGGAAAAGTGACTGAAACTAGTGATGTGGGTTGTATTATTTCTACTACAAATGTAGATAATAACATGATTTGAATTAGTTTTCAGACAAAGAGACATAAATTTTATCGGATGCTGTTACCATCCGATGGGTAAATCGGGATTTTTGGCCGGATGCTGGAATTGTCCGCTTGTGTTTAAGGAGTTAAAGAAGCTGAATTCAATTAAATAAAATGAAAATAAACTTAAGTGGAAAAATTACCTGAAAATGGTTTGACTAGGTGCTTAAAGAAATGTCCAACATGTGAAATGACTAGTGACCTACCAAGCTTTATCTACTGGTCTGAACTCAATTTGTCTGTGCAGTCCTTGACCAGTTATCTCAAGGTGTGCTAGCAACTAATAAATAGACTGGAAGCTCTGTGAAGCATTGTCGTTTGTTTTGAAACAAATTTCAGATCAACAGCAGAGTCCACAAAAAAGTATGGGTTTAGAGAGTACTTTTCACTTAAGCACAGTTTATTAACTGATTTCACTTAACCTTTAAAAACATGGAGTCCGTCCACTAGATGATCAGTCAACATTTCCTTATACCATCTATTTTTTTCTGTAAATAAAACTTTATATTCACACCAGATCTTAATTTATCTCTGGCACAAATTACTACATATGTCCTTCCAAATACTAGATCTATAAGCCTTTTCTTGTGGTGATTACTTAATGTTATCTTTAATAATAATAATAACAAACTCACATTTATTATTGTTTTTAAATATGGTTGTGTCTTAACATTTGTTTCAAATGTGTAGATCACGGCCTATTATTGGTTTAGAAACTACTGTCACTGGTAACTATACTGACATTGATCCGCAGAGAGCAGGATGTATAGAAGATCCAACATCAAACCAAGTATGGTAAGTTTTTCACAGATTACAGCTATTACATAGAATAAAAGAAATATTTCTTCTGTTATTTGGGGGAATTTTTAATTATTGAACTACTTGTGATTTTATTTGTTCATTTAATGTTATCATAAAAGAAGTAAGATTAAGAAAAAAATTCTAAATTTTTTGTATTTTTCACTTGCAACATAAAAGAGCTATTTACCATTATTGAAATAGGAAAGCATGTCTGAATCTATACAATTTCATTATTGCAAACAAATCTTAATCAGAAGTGCATATGGATGGATAGTTTAATTTACCAACCCAGAGGTTTTTTCCACTACTCAACAAGTATCAGTAGCTATCAACTTTCTGAATCCCTGACTGGGGATTACTCAGTCACATCTTACAATACAGTGAATCTCTGGTCATCACCATATCATCCTACATTGAACATACTAATACTAAGAAATAGTCTTGGGTTAAAGATTTCTCTTTTTTTTTTTTCCTGAGACTAAAAGTACCAGTTTTTTGCAATTAAGCATACCAAGGTGGCAAATAATACTTCAGGTGGCTTATGGCTTAGACTTACCTGCTTTTTTCCATGATGACAAACCAAACACTTCTAACAATAAGAAAAGTTTTCATCAACTTTATTCATTCCAGGTGAACACATAACAAAGGTAATTGGACTGAAATATTGATCACATATAATTTTTCCCATAAAGCAATTTTTTAATATATCTGTGAATTTCCTTTTATTTCCTTTCTGAGTATTATTGATAGTTACTTAGTACATCTTTTTATGTCTGATAAATGTTTTTGTGCATCTCCTGCATATTTTTTATGTATATATTAAGTGGCAGATGTTTCCAAAATCATTGTTCTAATGGTGGCAAAAGATTTAAAGTCCAAAACCTACAACATGAATCAGTTAGCAAATGAATGAAGTTTTCTGTCTCACCTTTTAAATGCTACTGTGTGCTTATTAAAGAAATATTAAATAATATTAAGCAAAGAAATAAGAAAGTTTGATGCTAAATATCATCTGTTGTAAAATTCAAAACAAAGTGAAAATGGTGTTTTATTCCCTGTACTACTTGAAAACATTTTAAACTTGCTTTTGTTAAGTAAAATAGTATATATGTGTTTTGCTGTATTACCCCAAAATACTAATTTAGCTGTTCATTGCATTGGTGTTTTTAGGCTTGCCAACATTAAACGGTGGTGTTGTAGGCTTGCTTCACTGTATTACCTGAAAACATCCCACCTTATATTTTTGTGTATTTCATGAAAGACTACTGGTTTTTAAAAAATGTATGACTTTAGAATTTATTCACTTTTCCAACTGTGTACTGCAATTTTCACTAACTTAATGAAGTAACCTGTAAAAAAAAAATTGTGACGGAAATTACTGGCTAATACATAAGCTGAATTATCTAGTTCATACGGTCTGAAAATATTGTCAAACATTGTACGTTCATTTACCTTATAACACTTATTCTATTATAGTAAGTAAGTTGTCTTTTTTTGTCTAGCAAATGAAGTAAAAATTTTCTAAATCAAAGCAAATAAAATTAAGAATAGAAATGGGCATACATCTTTTTATCACAGTTGGAGTAAATTTTTAAAGAGTTAAGTAAAGTTACTGATGGCTCAGTGGTTAAACTTGTAAGCTTATAATACTAAAAATCAAGGTTTGATACCTATGGTGGACACTGTTCAGATTGTGTAGTTTTGTACTTAATAAACAAACAAACAATCTAAGAACTTAATACTGAAATAAATGGACTTTGATTTCTCTGATTGTAGGTTATATAGTATAGTAACAGCATACAGAAAAGTATATCAATTTATTTTGAGTTTTCTTCATTTTTGTCTGTGTTAGGTATGTAGTAGTCGTACAAAAGTCAACAATGTTCAACAGCTACAATTTCAAGTCTGTTAATGTAACTTTTTTAACTTATTAACATAGTATTTCTTTGAGAGAAAAATGAGGCATTGGTATATTATATAGGTCAACAAAAACTTGTTTTCATTTATTGTTTACAACGAGGGATATTATTACACCATGCTTACTTTGTATATCTAATACATTTTCTGATCCACATATACATGTTATATATTTACAGTTTTCAGAATATTAAAATGCAGTTAATACTACTTATCACTATTATTAAACTTTGTTAAATATTATTAATTATTAATAACTTTTGCAGCTTTTCATTCAGTGCCTGTTTTAAAATCACTGATACTGGTTCTGATTTAAAAATCAGATATAAGATTGAGGAAGCAGCCTCCGCTGTTAAATACTATCGGGTAATTTTCAACTCATCTTATGATGCAGAAGCTCCAAATGTTGTAACTGAAGATCTTTCAGTTTCAATGGGAGAAAGAAAGTGCAAGAAAGAAGTGATCTACCTAAAGGTAAATTTCCTTACTGAGAGATTCATGTTACATCCACATGTAACTTCTTCACTAGCTACATTTTTGCATTTTGATATGAAATTTTATAAGGAAGCAAGCTTATTTCTAGTGTGTTATATTATAGCTACTTCTCTGTAATCATCTGCTGTGAAAAACTCTTGATTTTAATCTGCAGCAGTACTTAGACTGACAATTTCTGTTATCAGAAAGTTATGTAAGTTAACCTGAACATAAGTATTCGTGTGTAAGTGTAATTTCAATAACAAAGATCTTCAGTTTGTTCAGTTTTAATATATTTGGTTGCCTATTATTATCAGTTAATTAACAGAAAAAGAAATACAATCTTTTAGAAAAGGTGTATCCAAATGCCATAACAAAGCTTTCAGTAGAGTAATTAATCCAGTTAGGTAAAATTGGCTGTGAAGCCTCTTTTAATGTTTAACTCGCATTACTTTCAATTGATCTTATATAAAAGATATTGTTGGAGAAATGCTACCAGTTGGATACTTTAAGCCTTCATTTAGAAGAATGTTTAAACCATTTTATTTGCAAATGTTCTTTTGGACAGAATGAAACACTGAGTTTTGTACAGAGTGCTTTTAAAAGCATGATGATACATATCTGGATATATACAGTCAAATAAAACAAACTTTGCTGATAGAACAAAAAATAGCACTTTTTTTTTCAAAAACTTTGTCTTAAGTGTAGTGAATTATGATTTTATCATTTCCCTTTATAATATGGTTATTTTTATATATATTAAATGTATATATATATTTTTTTCCACTAATGTTAAACTTTGTAATTGTTGTGAAGCAATATATATTTTGTCATAAAATTTCTTTGTGATGAATTTCGTGTTATAAACATTATCAGATTCTTTAATATTTTTTAATGAAGGACAAAACAGATATCCAAACTCCTATCAAATTCAAGCTACTTTACTCATTAATCCAAGAGGATCCACCTCTGCCTCAGGAAGGAGATGAGTTGCCTGATCTAAATAAGTATCCAATTCTTAATAAACAAAAATCATTAAAGATATTTGAGGTAAATAAAACAATGTAAGTATCATACTTACATGTGTGTCTGTGTATATGTCTGCCTAACAAAGAAATTGTTTAAAAGTGATATATTAAATGTTTTAGATTTAATGTTTGTGGTAGTCTTCTCTGCAGCCTTTGCAAATTAATGAATTTATGGAATGCATTTCAGGAAGGATGTGTTGTGGTAAAACTATGCACATCCTTCACAATTTATCTTTCAATTAATGTAAACTAGAGATTGTATTTCTAAATTATTCTATTGTTTGATGATATAGTATATTCAGATGAACTGAATTATTATTAGAGCTGCCATATAGGTATGTGAAATATGCTATTGCCTCATTATAATGCTATTGCAGCCATGTGCACCCTGAGAGTGATATAGGTGGGGCAGTGTTATAACCAACTAGTCAAGAAGGTACTCCTAATGAATAAGTATGGATTCAACAGACTACTAAAGCAATCAATTAAATAATGATTTATTTACATAGGAAAAATACATATAAAAAGAACATAGATAAAATAAGATACAATAATGTAAAATAAAATATGATTACAAACTTTCCGATATTTCAGAAACAAAGCATACAGGAGAAAGAATATGATTGGCTAAAACAATTGGCATTTTCATTGGATAAGTAAAATCATGCCAAAAGTGAGAGGGTTTAACACTAATCTAAACCTGCTACAATTAACAATATGACATCTCTGTTTCCTTCTGAGACTGAGCAGTATCTTGATTTCACCTGTATACAATTCTTGGAACTTCCCACAGAGTTAAACTATTTCCTCTTTAATGACATCACTTATGATCAGATAGATGAAATCCCTGCTGGGTCCGACAATAGCCAATAGTTTTCTTTGCTACCAAGAATGCAAGTGGCTAGAAAACTGTCCATGTGACTTTAAACCTGTCATTTACAAATGCTATATCGATGAAACTTTCTTGCTATTTCACCATTCGAGTTACATTTCCAAATTCCTTTCTTACCTCAATTCCCAACATCAAGTTCACATCTCTGGGATTTGCACTCGGGACTTCCCACTTTTTCCTTTATTTTGTGGCAGAGTGTAATGACTTTAGCTTCTGAAGTTATGTGGCAATGAGCTAAGCAGTATATGATACTACATAAAGGTACCACAGCGTTATATTTGAGAAAACATAACTGATGGCATTATAGTGAAGCAGTACTGTTATTAGAGGTTCACTCAAAATATTGATTATGGATGTTAAAACTCTTACTTAACTGAGTCCGTGTTAAACAGAATAATGAGAATGGACATAAGTGTAGACCAAAATACACAATATTTATTAAACAATGAAACACAGACAGTTTGTGTACTTGTAGTTTTTACATTGAACAGTAGCCGTTACTGGATTACAGGATGAACTAAATGAAGACAAAGTTCCAGACTGACTAAATACAATATTTTGTAGTTTTTAAGAAACTTTGCATTTACCCAGAACAACATATGTCTAGTCATTCTCATTACAACATAGGTGAAACTGCTATCTCTAGATATCTTCTGAACAACTGTTGAAGGACACTGCTGTCAATATTCTTACACAAAGCTATATTAAGCAATGTTCTCCTTGGGTGGTAACAGATATTACATACTTCAAGAATGAGAAAGTTAACTTGAAACAAGATCAGTTTAATGTTTTTCTTGATAACATGTTATATGAAACCTGCACATATAAAAAAACAAAGAAATCAGAATAAATATCTAACAGTACAATAAGATAGAAATGTGTGGTATATTAATATACCACATTTCCTGTATTCTCTACGTCATATTTTTTTCCAGTATTTTTCTTTAATTGTAAATCTAATAAAATTTAAAATTACGCTGTTCAAGGAGTATGTTAACTCTTTCTCACTTTTAAAAACACTTGCATGCCTCACAGATGTCACATCCCTTCAAATAATTGTGCACAAGCTTGTTCCATTGGACTGACTTTGTATTGGAGAAGAAATATTGACTATAATTCCAAATTTTTTATCTGTATCTACATGAAATATGGCAAGCTTTTAATAATATATAGAAATCTGTCATACACAAAAAATCAGTTAAGTTACAAAAGTATTTGTATTCATATTATTCTATGAATTGATAACATCAGTCTTACTCGGATTCTGATAGGTCGGAGTGCAAAATCATGTTCATGTGGAAAGTAAAAATACTTTTGTCATCGTACAGTTTGCATATTGCATTTGCATAACTTCTAGAACCTCCAAAATGCATATCTACATGTTTTTTCAGTATCCCTGTATATTGTATCTGATATTTACTATTCTCTATCATGAACTGTTGCTAAGTTAGCAATGTAGAGTGCAATGAATAGTTGATAACTCTGATATCAAATACTTAATATTTTGAATGATACTTTGTAAAAAGTCATGGCATATGCACTTTGACTTCCACCTGTGCACATAGTATTAACAAAAATACCATAAAAAATATCTTTAAACAATAAATGCAGTGCATTACTATAAACCCTTTAACTCTTTCTGTATGGGATAGATGCATTGGCCCAATTCATAACCACCAAAGTAACCATGTCATTAGTCATAATTTACTTTTAGATAATGTATGCATTATTGAAAATTTTTGTGGACAAAAAATCAGATTTTTTAAATTAAGTATTTGAATCAAAGATTTGCTTGTGAATTTTTGCACTCAGAATGTTGACTATCCAATATGCACAGTGATTTTAATTTTTAAGATTAAAAATACTTTTCTTCATATGAAAATTGTCAAATTTCATTTGCATAGTCTCTAGACCCATTAAATAAACATCCATCCTTTCTTTTCAGAAAAACTTTATTATTTTATCTGTTATTTTCTCTACCCTAACTCGAAATGGGGTTGGTCAATTTGACCAACTTCGTAACCAACTTTATTGGATTACAGGACTGACTAAATGAAGACTAAGTTCTAGACAGACAAAATAAAAAAAATTCTTATATCCATTCTTATTACAATATAAGTGGAACCATAACCTCTAGGTATCAATGAAGAACCATTGGAGGACACTGCTGTCAACATTCTTATGCTACATAGTATTAAGCAGTGTTCTTCCCCAGGTGGTAACAGATATTGTGTACTTTGAGAACAACAAGAGAATAAAGGTAACTTGAAGCAGAATCAGTTTAATGGTTTCTCAACCACGTGTTATGTGAAACCTGCACATATTCAAAACATAGAATAATTTAAGTTAAAAAAATAGCTATTGCCGACTTTGAAAATGAGAAACATAACTTGAAAAAAGATCAATTTAATGTTTTTCTGGACCATGTGTTATGTGAAAACCTCCACATATTCAGAAACAGGCATCATTTGAAGATTTCTTTGAGAAATTTCTAATAAGGCCAGATTAACACATATGTGGAAATTATGCTATAGAATAGGACTCTTGGCTGAATTAGGGAACATACACGAAATTAATCTTCTTTGCTTCCCCTTGAAAGCCTTTTTTGAAATGACATTTCTGTTTAGAATAGAGAATAAATTCATAATAAAAACAAATACAACAGAAAGAAAGTACATTTTACACTTTACAGACCAATTGGTATAGCTTAGAAGTCTTGCAAGTTTTCATACTTACAAACTAATGATATTAAAGCTAAGACTAATGGTTATCAAGACATAGTGGCTTAGTTGAATAAAACATCTGACTTGCAGAGTTGCAGGCTCAATTTCTCACGTGATTTGAGTTTTCACTTCTTCAGGAACACATAACACCACAGCATAGCATGCCACTCTTGAAAAATAACTTTGTGACAAGAAATTATAAAACTTTTAATTATTATTGGTTTTCCATTAGGCGTATTTACTTAATAGTATTGAAAACAAATCAGTCTTATTTTATATTTGTTTTTTTTCCTCTAAGGTTTCTGAGGAGTTATTAACAAAAACATTTTATCTTTTCTGATTTATGTAGTTTACATTTGACATTATCAACTCTTCTGCTAATTTTTGAACACTTGTAATAACTTACAGAATTTTATGAAATAGGGGAACGTTTGGTATTTCACATAATGAAAGAAGAATAATTGTTTGGGTCTAAATGTACACAAAAATAATGTGAGGAATCGTCATTAGAATTATTGGTAAGAGGGTGAGATTGTTAGTGATTGAAGCACTAATTTTAGTGTAATAATTTTTGTTTTAGGCTACTTTTTTGAAGAACTGTGGAGATGATGAAGTATGTCAGAGTAACTTGGAACTGCTACTTGAGTTTGAGCTTTCAAAGCCACTAGGGTGAATATTTTAAACACTAAATAACAAACATGTTACTTTTCTGTGGACATGTATATTTATGTTTTGACCTTGTATAATTTACGCATTTAAATAAAGTTCTGAGGAACATAAAATCATGGATTGAAAATAAGAATATCCCCCCTAAAAAAATTGAAGTTTCGCTGGTTGTTAACTTAAATAATTGTCCACAAACATAAAATATTCTAAGACTAGAAAACAGCAAAGTATGTAGTTTATATTGAGATGTAAAGCAGCATCTAGTTTGTGTATGTAATTATGAAGCAACCAATCATGCATTTCCTAAGGACAACATAATTTCACGTCAGCTTAAAAAAACAAGTTTCAAAGGAAATCATTAGAGAAAAAGGTGACTATGAAAACTGATAAAGATGAAGTGTTCACAGATATTACCAAACATTTCTGAAAATTCATATAGGGTGTCAAGATGTACTTAAGGTTGTTTCAGCCATGTGCTGAAGCCACTCATCAATCCCCTGTCAGAGGCCTAGGTAGCTCCTGGCCCCCCAGTCAAAGTCTGGGGGGGGTTCCTATTTTAGACTCACAAGACTAAATGCCAATAATAACATAAAGAAAGATAGTTGATTTACAGAACAAAGGAATCATATGAATTTACAAATTTCTTTTTAAATCTATTGTCAATGAAAATATGTGGAAGTTTTGGCTTAACACCAAGCTTATTATAAATCACATACAATATCTATGTATTTTTTAAAACACAGACAGAGTTTTAATTCCAATCATTAAAATGTAATAAAGATCTAAAGAGGCTTCATATGTTAAATAATATTTCATACACTGTTTTATATGATGGTTCTTTTGGACAAGAAAGATTCCCTGAGAATCCCACCTTTCATGAAATGTTTGAATTTCTTTTTGAGCATTGTGTAGATGAGAAGTTTCATTGCATGTTTAAATTCAAGACATTTTAAATAGTTAATTTTAAGCTTCATTTTTTTACCTTCTGTTATCTTATCATTCAGCACATTGACTTTATCTTCCCTAACCCATTTTACAGTTCAGTGGTTAGTAACAAATGTGATGTTGCAAAAACTGTCTGTGTTGTTATTGATCAGATATTTCTTTCTAGTGTTTGTTATTTCCATTGAAAAAAGATAAATTTAATATAAAGTTGAAATTTATTTACAACCTTTGTTTGAAAGTACATGTATGTTTCTTTTATTTCATTAAGTAATGTATATAATGTGGTTATAAAATGTTAATAATAATTTAAGATGTTACATATTTTTCCAATCATGTACTAGATTTAAAATAGGTAAGGGAAATTATAATAAATTGTATAATTGACCTGAATGAGTGTACATATTTAAACAAAATTGTAGAGTTGCTAATTTGACCATTTTTGTCATTTGTATATAGTGCTACACATCACCAAAAGCTCTACTTGGGAGAAAAGTTTTTCAACATCTCTGTGACAGTTAGAAATTATAACGAACCAGCTTATAATGCAGCATTCTTCATTTCCCATCCCAAAAGCATAAGCTATGTGAATAATTTCAAGGTTAGTGCTGTGTATATGCTGTTTGAAAAATTGTGTAAGATTTTTCAGTAGTAGTTAAAAATAAAACTTTTTTTTGTTTTGCAAATTGTTTTGGAGGGGTGGAGTTTCAGTCTATTAAAACAAAACCTGTGCAAAATGCAGTCATACAAGATTAGTTGCTAGTCGAGTCTCACCATGCTGCTGAATTATCTTTCTGACAACATGAAATAATGTGTAATGTAAAAATCAATATGTAAATAAATATCAACAAATTTAGATTTAATTCCTTATAAGTTTTTAATAACTATTTTGTAAGCTTGCTTGTAGGTAGTTATATAAATGTTGAGAATTGAAATGTGTGTTTTATTTATTTTGTATATTTCATTTAAGAAAATAAAGTGAAATTCTGATCCTGCATATTTTTAACCATCTATTCTGATTTTATGACATGTCACTAAAATAACAGATTTACTATTTTGAGTAAAGCTAAAAAGATATTTGAAAATAGTACGAGTTTTTAATGATGTTTTGAATTAATACTGAATGCTTGTTTTTTCTTCAGAAGGACTATGAGCTAAACATTGAATGTAAGCCAGTCACAGAATCATTAGTAAAATGCACTCTGGGTAATCCATTTACCTTAAAAGAAGTAAGTTGTATTGTATTTTAGTGAATTTCTTTTTACTAGAAACACATATATGGACCGAATTCCTTTGTATCAATGAAAATTTTATAGTAACAAATTATTTTAAGTCCAAAATAAGAAAAATGTTTTAGCTAAAATTGTGTACTAAATTCTGCAGTGACTGTTATTAATGTACATAATTTCCATGAACTTGCATGATTTTTTGTGTGTAATGATATAAAAGGTGCAAGTTAACTATAGCTGAGGAAATATCACATGTAAAAATTATTATTTATTTTGTTGAAAAAAGTAAGAAAGAGCATTAATTGAGAAAGTTCAAGGGCTGTATTGGGTCATTAGATACTTATGGTAAGTGTAGTGATTGTATATTAATTGTTGTCATGGTGTGTGTGTAGTCTATATATCCACTAAGTTTAATTATTAATTAGCCACTTTTTTTTTCACCACTAAATGCCAGTTACTAATATGCTTAAGTCCTGTCTTTCAGCTGGTAATCTGCTGCCATCTTCGGGGAAGTCCTGTATGGTGTTAGTAGCCAGAAGTTAATCCTGGGATTTTTTTTTTGAAAGGCTGTTGCATTATATACTTACCTAAGGTTCCATCTTTAGAACTTGCATCCGTTATTTGAATGATTTTTATAAGGGTATCCAGATTTCACTGACTTACTTCTTTGCTTGGATGACTGAGTGTGTTATCAGTTTGGTGGATGTTGAATATTTCTTTCGTCTTTTTTATTTTCTTGTGTATGATTCATTTCCCTTTATTGTAGTATTTCCATTTTATTGTATGGATAGATGTTACAGAATCTTAAATGTCTGTTGCTTCTTAATTCTGATTTTTGTTTCTCCAACATATTACAGCCCACATTCACATAAGATGTAGTAAATGGTATTATTTTTCTTCTCTCCATTGGATCATTGTGTGGTTTGGTTAGTGTTAACTGTAATAATATTATGTTGTGGCTTCTGAATGCTGTTCTGACTTTATGCTCTATATACATGTACTCTGTATACTTTGACATAAGGGAATAAAACTTTAATTTTCTTCCTGCCTATTCATATTATTTATCTTTACTTTCCTCTTTTTTTCAAATGTTTAGGGTATTCATTGTCAAGGAGGTTTACAGTGATGTGCTTGTTACTTCTTAACATATTCTGTATTACAAATATTTTTCATTCTGGAGATGGCTCTGTATGCTGAACTATGGATCTAAGATTCTTTGGTTTGCTCTCCACTACTGCCAAAAAACAAAGTGCTTCACACTTTGGGGTCATGGGCATGTTATGAGTGATTGTCAAATTCTGGTATTCAACTAGAGTGGCCCAAGAATTTGCATTTGGTGGTATTGATTATTTACTTTCTTTCTAGTCTATTACTTGAAAATTAGGGAAGACTAGTGCAGATAACACTTGAGTATCTTTGCAGGAGAGATGGCAGTTTATGATGCTCATCTTTTACTGTTTGGGTGGCTTGATATGTAGTCAATGTATTCATCTTAGGTAAAATATTATATGCCTTTGTTACCATGATGTCTAGGAAAGGAACTTTATCTTATTCTGTTTCCATTGTGAATTATATCACTGGATGTTGTCTGTTCAAGTGGTTCATGACTTCTGGTATCATGGCCATATTATGAATGTACCATCAACATAGCCAAATTGTGGGTCAAAAGTGGAGTTATAATGTGTAAAATATGTACATTACTGATAATCTTTGATTCAGGCCGCCTTTTTTAATAAATACACTATTTATAGTCTTAAATCTAGTTTTCATATATAAATGGATTGTAAAATGTAAATGAAACAGTCTTATCTGATGTTCCAAACATTTTTAGGCATTTATATGTTTGTTGATGTGAACGTGCATAGTTTACTCAAAGTTAAAACATGATCTCTGTATAAGGTTAATAAAACTGAATAAAAAAAACAATATTAAAAGCATATAATATTTATTTTTATAAAGGTATGAGTCTTCCTTTTATATACCTTAAGAATAAAATCATAGTACTATCAAATGTATTTTTTATAACTCCATATAAAAAGTTTTGATAGGTAAAAAAATTATTAACACCATAGTAATTAAAAACATACTGTTAATTACTTTTGCATACATTATTCTATAGTATTACCTGAGAATAATCTTAAGCATAAAAGTTAGGAACCATAAATAGTCATTTGCTTTGGAATGCTAGCTGTTTTACTATGCTTAGATTAGAAAACTAAGTTAAAGCAAAGATTACTTCCGTGATGTGCTAGGTTTACTTTTGTTTGCAGTTGTATTTAAAAGTATGTACAGTTTAGGAAAATGTTAAGCTCTTTCACATATGTTTATCAGGTTTAACTTGAAACTTTGAAGTAAAAGAAACTTCATAAAATTTAGAAGGGTTGTGGTAGATTACAAATGAAATAAATTTTATTGCTCTCAGAATGTTGAGATAATTATGCTTATCAGATTTAATACTTTGGATTTGTGGCACAATTACACTTGACAGGGAAATTGTTTTCTCTGGAAATCTCGGAAGTTGCTTAGATTAAGGATCTTGTAAACCAGTGTTTGTTGCTACAAAATTATCTGCAAGTTATATACATTCTATGTAAATGATAATAAGAAAGCAGAATCTTGAGCAGGATATTTACTTATATTCACATCATGGCTTTATTTTTATGAAAATATTTTATTTATACTTATGTAATTATGTTTTTTAAGCATAGGGTAAAGTATTAGTGCTTTCTACTTCAAGAAGCTGAAATATAATTTCACTGACTGATAATGTTGTATAAGATATTGATAAATACTTTTCTTAGGTAGTTGTTCAGGTTAAGTTTGATACCCGAAGGATCAGAGATGATGAAAACTGGCTGACCTTTGATGTGAAAGTGAATACGTATGTATAGTAATTACTTGTTTTCTCCTATGTTAAATTATTTCTTGTGTAGTGTGATACAGAATATTATTCATTGAAATATATTAAAAACATCTTAATGTTTGAGTTTTGTATTTCTGAGGCTCGCAAACAGTTGTTTTTTTTTTTGGTTGTTTTTAAAGAGCAGGTGTTATTAATCATGATGGTTAGGTTTATTAAGGAATGTGCACAGTAGACCAACTCCATTTTGGAGAAGTAATGTTGAATATAATTCTGAACTTATGAAGTTTATCTTCACAAAATTGTGACAAGGTTTAGTAAACAGTACAAATCTGTTGTATGCAAAAAATCAGATATGTTATAAAGTTTTTGTACTCAAGATATGTCTGTGAAATGAAATCAATCTGACTCAGGCTCTGGCAAATTGGAGTGCAAAGTGATGTTCTTGTGAAGATTAAAAATACATTATCCATTGTACAGTTTGCAAATTACATTTGCTTAACTTCTGCAACCTCTTACATGTATATCTAAAGATTTTTTCATTATCTCTATATATTATATCTCATATTTTATCTGCTCTAATAGGAACTGTTGCAAAATGAGCAGTGTAGGATAACATGAAAAGTTGATAACTCTGACATCACATTCATAATACCATGTTGAATGGTACTCTGTACAAGGTCGTGGCAGACACACTTTAACCCCCACCAGTGCACATAGGGTTAAAATAAGAGTTCAAGAAGGGCATTGGGTTTTATAGCTCAGTTAATCTGGGGAGTTCTAGTATTAACCAGAAAGTCTTCTAAGCAATAATTAGTGGGATTAATTGCAGTATTGATGGTATTTTTGTTTAAAGTTTTTTTTTTGCAAACTCGTAATTATGTTACTAGGGGCCCCTTAACTACCCAAGCCATAGATATAAAAGCATACATAAATAGTATAGGAAAATGTGTTTTAAAAAGCTGATGAAGGCCTTGGGAACAGAAGGTTTCATCTGGTGGCTTATGATGTTTTGGTGGGTATCTTTCCCATCCTCCGAGTTTATATTCATTCATGGTATGAGAGATACCAGAGGTGGGATGCCAATTTTCAATACGTCTCAACTCTGACCAGGATGGGGATCATCAGTATTTTTTATTCTATTTTTGATATTCCCATTCCATTGTCTCTTTAAGTTGTTGAGCCCAACCCTTGGGACAGCTTGGGTCTTTATTTGGTTCACCCTGAGCCCTTACTAATATAGCAGGTTTTGTGATTCGCTGACCTTTTTAGATGAAGAGGGGCTACAGCTCCTGGAGTGTGTCCACTTATAATATTTGATTAGACTGCTCTCCCAGGAACCTTTCATTACTAGAGTATTCGTCCTACCTGTTTATGCCACACCTGTGCTCTCATCATTAGCATTGGCTCCACAGACACAATAAACCATTAATGTGTTGCACACTTGGATAAAGAAAAGGGAGGTAATTCATTCCAACCTAATTACATTTATTTCCGAAAAAAAAGCAGAAATTGAAACATTTACAACAGACAGTTTTATCTTTTTGATATACAGATAATCATAAGTGGCATTCACAAAATAATCATCTCCTAGTACAGTAACAAGCAGGCATTATATTGTTACGTCTCCGTGTGTTAATTAACTTTCTGTAACTTCGTTCCAACAAAACTTTAACGACACAAGTCTTTACTTAATAAAACTGGTTTATTCTTTCCGAATATAACTCTGCGATACACTTAACCTCAATACTCGCGCTATAACAACGAACGTGCTCAATAATACTTCTGACTGCAGATCAATTACTCACTGACTATACACACATTACCTCTCTTCTTTTATATACCAGCGCACCCTATTTCTAGTAAGAACTTGAACATTCGCCAAAGTACATGATAGTTCTAGAAACGTTGCGTCACGGTGGTCATGTGACTCGCTAACGCAACAATATGCAAATTACTACAATAATCAGGCATTCACAAAATAATCATCTCCTAGTACATTAACAAGCAGGCATTATATGTAAATTACTACAATAATCAGGCATTCACAAAATAATCATCTCCTAGTACAGTAACAAGCAGGCATTATATGCAAATTACTACAATAATCAGGCATTCACAAAATAATCATCTCCTAGTACAGTAACAAGCAGGCATTATATGCAA